GTAAGGCTTTTATTTTGAGGGTGACGTCACGAGCGCAGATTTGGTTGACCAATTAGAGGAAAGTGGGCGTTTCAGCACTGCCTACATGTGTAAAATGAATTTTAAAGTCGTTTATCCGTTTTCCTACCCTAAACCAAAAAACGAAAATCCAGCCAAAATCTCGTTTTTTCGTTTTCTCGTGAGCAAAAGAAAAACGGAAAAAACGGCCGTTTTCTCCATTTCCTTTATTCCGTTTGAAAATGGAAAACAAATGAACAAAATGTTCACGGACCGTACACGGACCATTTTTTGACTCATTATTTCGTTTTGGTTTTGTGTTTGTTTTAATATTTCGTTTTAAGTTAATAAGCAGAATAACAGATGAGTTTCCGTTTTTTCTGCCTACAGAATAAACAGAAAAACGAAATATTCATCGTTTTTCTGATGTTTCGTTTTCCGTAATAAAAGGAATAATCAAATGAACGGATGATACACGGACCCTGTAATAAAAGCCATTATTTTAAGTTTTTTTCAGCACCCCAGCTGCAGAAAATAAATAATATAATAATATATAGATTTTTTTTTTTTTACAGTGCAACCTCACAGTAAAATGAACACCATGTAGGCAATTCCATGCAAACACACACTCACACTTAAAGGGCACCTATTTTACCCCTTTTAATGATTTAAGATGAGTATTTTGTGTCTTTAGAATGTGTCTGTAAAGTTTCAGCTTATCAGATTATTTATTATACCTTTAGGATGTAGGAATTTTCATCTTTGAACACAATGTAGCCTACGCGCACAATTGTTGCCTGTGCCTTTAATGCTAGTTCTGCCTGCCCACCGTTCCCACGTGCCTGTCAGAGTGTGCCTGTTAGGGTGCTTTCACATCTGTAGTTCGCTTCATTTGGTCCGAACCAAGGGTAATAAATGATACATTGTTGCATCTTCTGCCGTCTTTGGGTCGTTTTCACACCACACTGCTGGCTTTGGTCCGAACCAGTTGAAACGAACCAAAATGTAGTCATCTGAGAAAATCCACATCTCTCATTGGCCAGATGTTGTTGAACATATTTGCTTAACTGCTTATTGATTGGTCAGAGTACAGGTGCGGGAAAATGCCAGTGAACTCCCGCAGGTAAACAAAACCTTTTACTCTGGAGGGACGACTGCACTGGCTGATTGTATCCCTGCTTTAGAAACTATACATTATGAAAATGAAGCGCGGCTGTGGCTGGAAAACAATGTTTAATGCATCGCTCGTCACTTCAGAAGGAGACGTGAATTAATTTAGCTAAACTGCGACATGGTCATCTTGCGGAAATATTACCAACGATCCATCAGGTAATGTTTTCCCCTCTCTCTGTTGGTAAAGCGCTGTCAACAAATATTTTTTCTCCATATCCCATAATGCACAGCGCATCGGCCTACGGCAGCTGAACAAGTCCGAAACGCGCAGTACTTTTTGCGGTTGGACCTGTTTTAGTACGGATCATATTCTCACCACAAACAAACCGCTCCAGGGTTCGTTTGAAAGCGTACCGAGACCTGCTTACTTGGTCCGCTTTTGGTGCGCACTCGAGTACGATTGCTGCATTCTCACCTGCCCAAACGAACCGCACCAAAAGGGGACAGAACTCTAGTGCGATTCAATCGAACTAAATAAGGCAGCTGTGAAAGCACCCTTAGTCTTCAACTCGGCTGCATCAGATAAACAGTGCAGTGACAGACATGAAGGAAGCTGATCTCACGTAATGATTGTGAGAAAAACTAGAGTAAGAACTGTCCAAATGATTATCTGATGTATTTGTTGTGGAGTTAATTCAAGCCTGTCTGCAACGATGAGTCACACACAATGTCGTTACAAAACACACAGTGCACGCGTTTAACTTTGCACTGTTTTTTTGCACGGCAAATGTGACAGGATACACGTTAATATTCCCTGCTGTATGGATATCTGTTATGTTAATCTACAAAATAAACCTGATTTAAAGTAAACCAGGATTAAAGTGTCTTCTTTAAAGCTGAAAAGTAAAGCTGAAGTAAATCGCTGTAATTCATTACAAACATGCACTGTTATAAAAATGTTTGAAACTCATTCTTGATCACATTTGATGATGATTGATGATCAGAAAGCTGAACAGATCTTTAAGCCCCAGTTGCTTTGTGCACATCCTGTCTTGTTGATATGATTATACGCATTACTACGGAGAAATGTTAATACACGGCTGTCAGTTGATTCGGTGGATGGTGGATGATTACGTTATGTTGCGTTGATTTGGATTCTATTTTAACGCCAGGCTATATATATATATATATATATATATATATATATATATATAAAAGATTTATTGTCTTTATATCACTCCAACATGACAGTGACACTATACCTACGAACAGTTCTTTCCAAACAGTTTACAAATGATAATTTTTATCAAAGGTGCCCTTTAATGCAAAGAAAAACTAAATAAGTATATATTTTTTAATCAGATAAAATAAACTTGTTGAACATAATCTGCTTCTTTCAACATCAGATCTCGGACTGTTGTATATCTAAATTTATGTTAGTCTAACAATCATTCATTTCAACACACACACACACACACACACACAAAAAAAAACACACAAGACGCCATTTGCTCATGGATGTGTATTTTAATAAAAATAATTCTGTCAAAATTAAATGAGTACAATATTTCTTTATCATGTTTCCAGTACATAGGTATGTCTCTTTTTTATTTTTATGTATTTTTTTAAATCGTTTTTCTTTTTTATGTTGTTTTAAAGGTTTTTAAAGGTTCATGCTAAGTAGAGGGTAACTCATTTCACAATTGCTAAAAGAAAACTCAAATAAAATTAAACTCATAATAGAAGTAAATTGTGCACAGCTTGCTGTACTCCACATTCCATCCGTCCTGCTCCGTTGTTGTCGATTTGTTTTGTTTTTTAAAGCAGGAACATCATCACATGACTAAGAAGTTCTTGACAATGATTTTGGCGACTTCCTTCCCTCCCCTATTTGTACGTAAGTCCCTACTCAAGCCAAAATGGAGTCCTATGATGAATTCTTTTAAAATGACAATATTCATTCTATGTGGTTAGATTATGATGAGTTCCAAAACATATCTGGCATTAAAAAGCCGCCTCGCAATAAAAGATCTACAACGTATACAGTTCAGTAGAAATACGAGCGCTTCTCTATAAACTGCCATTTTGTAACTCAAACATAAGTAAAATGTTACACAAGATGTCCCCATGCAACAATATACCACCATTAAACAACCAAATCGACCCATTTAGTAGAATAAAATGGTGGATCAGGGTGTGTAAAACTTGCCCCACAGAATCAGACACATAAACACTGCTAAAAAACAAATGACGGGGCTCCAAATAGTTAGCATCTCTATTCATTAAGTAACTCGAAATTTGGAAAGGCCACTTCTTTTTTCTAAGTTCTCAAGGAGCATGTGCAACTTTCCAGACTTCCGACTTAAACGATCAGCAGGTCAACCAAAATGGTTCCCGCTCTACACATACCTTCAGTTAATACGCCTGACATGATACAACAAGCTAGACAGCACTGTGTCCTAAGAGTAAATGAGGTATAGCTGAACAAAAAGCAGGTGTAAATATGGGAATGTAACAATCTCATGATGGCCAGCAGCTAAAACAAGTTGGGAAATCAAATCGGCTAAGCTACATTCAACACCACGGCGGCCTGCTGGCTTAGTGAAATGCTGGGTTGACGTGGGAATCGCTTGATAAATCTTCCTTCATGAATGATAATAGGAAATTAAAAGTTAAGTGCCTGAGCCTGATAACATCACACTCACAAAAATGACAAGAAATGGACATTTGGGAGGGGAAAAAAACTAAACAAAAAAACAATTGCACTAATAATAATGAGGTTGAGGTGAAGTTATGGAGCAACAAAGATGATTGCAGATCAAGTTCTAGTAGTTGCTAAATAAATACATCATTTGTTTGCAAGTTTTCTGTTCATTTGTAGGAACGCTGGGTCAGTCAATTGTCTTGCGTGCTGCAAGTTCATACTCTGTCCCTCCATTTCTGAACAGGAGAGGTAGACAGATACAGTAATGCATCTAAGTGTGCATTAAGTGAAGTACAGTGCATCCAATGGTAACAAAACTCTAACAAACAGTACTTAACAGCCAATGAAACGACCAATAACAAAAGTTGAAACAGTGTCAGTTTTTGAGTTATTCATCTAACAGGAGAACTATCAACACAGTGACACTATTCACATGGGTGTGAAACGTACTAGTTAGTTCATCTCCAAGCTCTTCTCAGTAATCAAACTGCTGACCTTCAATTTACTGTCAAAAATGTTGTGTTTTTATTTGGTAGAGCCACAAAAGTCTGAAAACCGATTTAAATTTAGTTTGCCTAACTTAAAAAAAACATGATGGCTGTCACTCTACTCACAAAGATGATAAAATAAATCTGTTTAGGGTGAAGGTTGAAAATAGAATTGATATACATTGGACCCGAAGGCAAGTCTGCGTCATCAGTGTGATTGTGTTTAATGAAATTCGTGCTGGTGCCTGAGATACTAAAGTAGCTTAAAAAGGCGAGACGCTAAGAGCCATGCAATTTCTCACCTTCTCTCGCACAATTAACATCGTTAGGTCACAACAAACTCACATATGCGCAACATCCATCAAACTCCAAAGGGGCAGCTAAGGTTGACCGAAAAACTCATTTGTTTATACGTAGAAAAGGACCTGCTTTAAAATCCACAGTATGGTTTGGTGAAGCGACACCTGTTTCCGCTAATTTCCCGCTCCGACGACTTGTCTAAATACCTGAGCTCTGACTAAGTGCTTTGCTCGAATTTTTCAGTAGGAACTTACCATTATGCGTATAGTTGATATGGTAATCTCGAAATACTATGCAGTCAATTCACCCATGAAAAAAAAAATAGGTTGGGAAGTTGATTTGTTTCAAGATGAGCACAACAAACGGACAAAATATAAACTGAAATAAAAATGACTAGATAAAACAGAATAATTAATTATCTTTAAATAGTGTCACACAATTTGTATTTGATAATACTAAATTAAAAAGAAGCCTCTCTTCTCGTGTTTTCTATTCGTTCTGCTCGGCTGCTTCTGGCAAGCGGCACACCAATTCAAACGCGTGTTCTCGTCATGGCAATCAGCTGGAAAGTCCTCTTAGCCGTCCTGAACGTTGCCTGAAGGAAAAACAGAAATGGGTTATTTTTAATATGGACAGAAAAATAAGGGATATGTAATGTTAATCTGAAATTTAAAGACTTGACTAGATTAATTAGGTTAACTAGGCAGGTTAGGGTAATTAAGCAGGTTGTTGTATAGGATGGTTTGTTCTGTAGACTAAATATATAGCTTAAAGAGGCTAATAATTTAATGACCATAAAATGGTTAAAAATAAAAAAATAAAAAATAAAACGTATATAGTTTTAATAAAAATAAAAAAAAACTTTAATTAAGCCAAATTAAAACAAATAGGACTTTTTCCAGAAAAAAACAAATATATATATATCAGACATACTGGTCCTTGCTCTGTTAAACATAATTTGGGAAATATTTAAAAAAGGGAAAAAAATAAATAAATAAATAAATAAAAATTATATATATATATATATATATATATATATATATATATATATATATATATATATATATATATATATATATATATATGAAAATGTGAATATATTCAAAGAAAATTGTTGTTAATGTACAATGGTTTAAATACATAACCTCTCTAAGCTTTAATATCAAGAGAAGACAACTGATTACAAGCTAATCAAAACATGTAAATTTTGAAAAATGCACTCATGAAATTGGCGAACTTACAAATAAACAAACAAACATACATATATATATATATATATATATATATATATATATATATATATATATATATAAAGGATGGTGCATCCTATTTCGGTATTGAATTTACTGTCATGTTAAATACATCAAAAGCCTACTGTATGCAAGTGTTTAGATTACTGTTGTAAATACCTGCAACAATGTCGTAAACAATAATCTGTGAAAATAAATGTCAGAAAATAAAGGATGATATTAAGGGTTTTAAATGCCCAACAAGACGCTTTGGAATCTAAATATTAGTTGCACTGAATGACATTTGTGTTGGTGTTTTATGAATATCATAGTAAAAATGAAAAGTACCAGGGCTCTTTTTCCTGCTATTGTCAATGAAAGTGCAGCATTTTTAAATGGCAGCAGTGTGGCAACTTGCTGAGCTTGCGTTTTACTTGAAGCCCTGAGCGATCTGTGTTTTTAAAAGCTCCGACAGCTGAAGAAGCGCTCTCAGCTGAGCATTTTTAGAAAAGCACTGGCATTTTTAGCTGTGCAAAAACACTTCTATAGACATGCACCCTTATAGTCATTATTTTTCTGTCAACTATACAGGACGCAATATAAAAAAAAATGAAAAATAAACTTTTGTTGTTTTGATGACTCATCGCATCTTTAACCCATATACAACCATGGTCAGAATTATTGGTATTCACACAAACGTGGTGTGGGTTATGACAACCACTGTCTGAGATTACCTGCACTGTTTTGGTGCACTGTCCCCTAGTGATTCAGAGATTCAAAAAACTAAGTCTTTTTTTTTCTGCTCATAACTTCTCAATCTTTTGTCCAAAACTCATAAAACTGGTCTCTTTACATCCGGCAGAGCATACAGAGTCAATAGATGTCTGACTTTCCATGGTCACAGTATCACAGTTGTAAAAGTGCTGACATAGTTGAGTCTTGATGTCAGAAAGCCTTAAAAAAGAAAAATCCTCTGCTCTCATCAAAAAACAAGGTGAACTTGGTGCAAACAGTAATAATGCACTTGGTTAAAAAAACCATTGTGGAGCCATTTTTCTGCCAGAGGACATGGACAAATTGTTTAGACACATGGTGTCATGGATTGCTTCTAAAACCAACAGATAATAAAAATAATAATGTACTGAAAATGTAAGGCTGTACTGACTGAAGATCTGATCCTGAGTAAAGATGCTAGCAGAGGCACTGATCCAAAACAAACATGAAAATGGTTCACTGAGGACAAAAGTAAGTTCAGCTATAGCCGTCCTAGTCCCCTGATATGAACTCAACGGAAAATGTGTGAGTGAACTGAAGAGGAAAGCCCACCAATATGGAGCAGGGAGTTGAGGGATCTGGAAAGACTTTGTATGCAAGAACGGCCTCAGATCTCTTTCCAGGTTTTCTCCAATGTTCTCAGAAATTATAGGAGAAGACTTAAAGTTTTTATTTTGGAGGATGGAGGTTGCAAGAAGTATTGAAGAAAAGAAAGCTAATAGATGTGGCCAATGTGTTCTGTAGGAAAAACCTTCAAAATGAAAATCATGAAATTGTTTTCAATTTACTTATATTAATGAAAGGTTTGTTTTTTTCAGTGAGAATAGTTTTAACTAAATATCAAAGTGACAAAAAAGTTAACTTGATAACATGAATGTTTTATAGAATAGGTAACACTTAAGTAAAGGATCCCATTTGTTACAATATTTTGTAACACTTTATAATACCTACACACTATGAATCATCAATTAAGCATTAGCAAGTAATTAATTATTATGTTAAGTATTAACAGATATAAATGCTCTATTCTTGCCTTATAAGCATATTTAAATGTTTAAAACATTAAAAAACTTGTTAATTACAAAATTTAGTACTGCATTATTGACAAACCATTTGTTTTTAAGAGTAGTTGGTGGCTTTTAGAATCATCCAGAATGAGTTAGTAAATTATTAATACACATTTAAAAAAATTATTATATTTTATTAACTTTTTCACGAACAACGATTAATAAACGTTTATATTTTTTAATTATTAAGGCATATAGTAATTACTATGGTTACCATGTATGTTAATAAATGCTTTATTAACTCAACTTCATGCAGTTTAGTGACTTATTCTAAAGTAAGGCCTATCTATGCTTTTTTTCCCAAATAAATGACAATTAAAGGCTCAGAATGCAATCTTATTTAAAAAATAAAATTACTTTAAACTTTAAACACTGCCGAATGACGGGAGTGTCAAATAACAATTAGAAATACAACTAAAAAAAGTTGTATAAAACAATATAATAATTTAACAATATATTATGAAAGATTATGAAACTGTACAGTATTTTTATTTTAGTTAAGATTGCAAAGCTTTATTTTTCATTTGATGCCGTTTCAGTTGTGTGTCTTCAAATGAATAGAAATTAATAAAGTCGTTTATTTTCTTTGTTTTTCCTGTTTAGAATATAACTGAGCTTTTAATTGTCATTTATAAAGCATAAATGGCCCTCAATTTAAATTAAGACACAAAACTGGATAAAAGTTAATGAAGCATACTTACAAATTAACTATTAGTATATGCCTGAGTATCAATATATAAATGTTAATTTGAATAGTTTATAAATCATTTACTCACACATTCTGAATAATCTTAAAATAGCACCCACTATTCTTTAATAACTAATTTGTAAATGATGCAATACTTAAGTTATATATCTTATTAATCTTTAACAAAGGATGAAAATACAACCATTGAGCACATTTTAAATGTGCTTAAAAGTCAAGAATAGAGCATTTGTATCTGTAATTATAAACTGTTTAATAACGTTTATTAATGTAGAGTTAATGCTTATCAGATAATGAATGAACTATTTGCTAATGCTTAATAAATAATCCTTAGTGTGTAGATATAAAGTGTTACCCTCTTGGTTTTAATAATGCACTCGTAAATGATGAAGTAAACATTCACTTAGATTAACTAGGATATATTTTGGAGATATTTTATTTGTAATAATTTGAAAAAAATCAGATTTAAAAAAAATCTGAATTCTAAGATGTAAAGTAAGAACTTGAAATCATTTTGAGGTAGATGCAGATTTGTAGATGTAAGCTAAGAATTTAAAGAACACATTACAAGAAATGAGCATTGTAAAAAATTAATTGTGAGAAAAACATTTTGTTTCTTGCAAGTTCTTCTAATTTGTTTGTTGACTTATTTAACCCTTACTGTAAAGGGTTGCATATAATAAAATAAAATAAATAAATAAATAAATAAAATAAAAAAATAATATAATATAATATAATATAATAATATTTTATAAAACACTTTTGATGATGTATTTTCTTTCATAATGTTTTTTATATTATATCATAATACAAATAGTATGAATTGGATTAAAACAGAATACTAACTGCAGCCAAGTAATGATAATATTGAAAATAACAACAATAGAATTCATTTCTCTAATCACCTCTAGTGTTCTCACCTGTACTGGTGCTAGTGCAAAAAGTTGTCGACTCTGGCGAAGGAGCAAGACCCAGAGCGAACCCTGGCCATCAGCTGCACGCACTCAGTGGCCTGACCCAGAGCCAGCATAAGAGGCGGCTGTTTAGGCAGATTCTGAGACTCTGAATGAGGGAACACATCACACATATGAATTCATTACAACTATTAAATATGTATGAATGACCGTAACAACCTGTGGCCACATTACCAGGCCCTTACAGGCTCATTTATCTGCGGCCACATTTAAATTGTGAAGCCTATTAAAGCGATCATGTTCACAGAGCTTATTTCTTACCCAGAATAGCACTGTTGAGAGCAGAGCAGATCGCCTCTCTTTGCATGGGGTCCAACTGCTGGCCCACGGGGCAGTTCCAGGGGTCTGAATATGCCAGCAGACTGAATGCATCCTAAAACACAAACATAGATAATGGCAAGTGGGTACAAAAGATGCAAGAGTGCTGCTACCAACTGGGCTACTCAGTATTTGCACTTTGAGTGTGTATTTGCATCAAACATGAGGCTGAGAAGCTGAACAGATTAGTTTACAAGTCTCAAAACAAAAGACCATTTTACTGATATTTAATATAAAATACGACAATCAAACTGAATTGCACAATATCAGCATAACACAACTAAATGAGTTCATTTGTGACTAGAAATAGATCTGTGCAAAGAATTTAACGTATTTGGGTGCCAAAACTGTGCCTTATAGAAATAGAAATGCATCAAAGGTTTAACTGCATGTTAAAATCACACATAAAACACACACTAAAATTTGTGGTTTTGTAATGTGCAAAAACAAAAGACATAAACATTTTGCATTTACATGAAAACTAAACACCAGAACAGGTATTCATTTTGTTTTACCTGGCATTTTATGAATCAACCACACATTCAGCTAAAAATGCTAGTTTAAGGGATAATTCACCCCAAAATTTCGGGGCTGAACATGCTTTTCCTTTATGAGAATGTGAGGTATGCCACAAAAAAAAAGTACGCTGCGCTTTTTATGTCACCACTAGGCAACCACTGAATCAGCTGCATATTGTGCACGAGCGCTGCTGTTGATATACAATAGTTAGAATTGTAATATTTTATAATATTAAGATACAGTATCTGTACAATACACCTATTTACAATGACAAAGGGGCAGGGGGTTGTTGAATAACTACTAAGAGATTTCAGCTGCTGTCTGGGCTTTTACTGCCTTTCTACACCTCCCTTTCTTCATGTGTTCAATACTTTTTTTCTGAGTCATTTTATTTTATTACACATGATTTCATTTGTAAATTAATTAGATTATATTTTTGCATTTATGGATTTCTTTGGTTGCCACCAACATCTGGTGAAAAGTCAGCAGCATCTTTAGAAATATGTTTTCTGAAAAAAATGGTGACGTGTTCAATACTTATTTTCCCGGTTGTAACTAAGCAACATAATGGTCTGGTAATGAGGAAGTAGTATGTCCCCAATTTTGCATACTCTTCTGTTGCACACTTAAAAGTATGTACTTTTCTTAATAAAGCAATCATGCAAATTGAGATGCAGCATTAGTCTCTCCATTTTTGAAAGTTTCTATAGTCATCTTGACAACACAAACACTGCTGTCACCTCAACTGAAACCCCGCATCTGCTTTCATTTGATTGGAACGCGACTGACATATCGTGCTTTTTCTGTTTAGAGTCGACTTGTAGACACAATGGCAAAAATGTGAAGTGCAACAGGAGGTTAAAACGCGAGGTGCGCAGGGTGCATAAACAACGCTGAAAACACCCATTGCCATTAGAAAACCATTTTAAAAAGGCACATCTTATCGCAGAGATTGTGTTTGGTGTAATCAAGGCCTTACTCATACTACACTTGTTCCAAGCCTGGACTTGAGATATACCAAAGCTTCTAAATCTTTCAAATTAGAAACAAATGTTCAGATGCAAAAAACTCTAAATGCCATGAATTTGTTCTCTTGTCTTAATTTAGTAATTTCACATTTATGGCAAAGAATTTTTTTTTATTGCTTTTAACATAAAAAAAACTGAATATAAACATAAGGGGCTAAGAAAAATGCTATTTTTTACAAGAAAAAGACAGATACAACATAGAGATTTTAACATTTAAAGTCTTCGAATGTACACCACAGGCAAAAACGTCTGTGTCAAGCCCTGTCATCATTTCAAGCCTCCAGCTATTCATCTCTTTCTCAAGCTTATCCTCCTTTTCCCCTTCTATTCCTCCTACCTGCAGCATCTTCTTGTGAGTGGCATTCTTGCCATACTGGCGGCAGAGCTGTTCGCTGAGGGTCTGAAGCTCTCTGCCGAACTGGATCATTCTCTCCGTGGCCGCCTGGTTTCCTCCACACAGCTGTCTGGAGCTGCAGGTGTCATCTAGAGGAGCAGAGTTGGCACAATCACACCTCAAAAACAGGCAAGTTTACAATTATAAGGCCCCGTTTACACTAATACGTTTTAGATTTAAAATGGCATTTTAGAATGAAAATGATCCTTAACCACACTGTTGTTTCACCTAGCATTTTTGAAAAGTTCCACACTACACAGCTGAAAACACACATCACGTGACCATACACACACTCTGTCATGCGCTGCAGTGTATGCGGACAACTGAGTCCCAGGCAGTCAGGTAAGAGCAGTGCAAGTCAGACAGTTCGATCATTCGTCGCTAGATTTCATCACACTATAGCTGTTAAACGAGATATTCAATACCTCTCGTCTCTTAACGACTCTTTTGAATCGATTACTTGTTCTCAGGTAACATATTTTAGCTGAGCGCAAAGATAAGTTAATATATTAATTTATGTAACCAAGTACACTGATTTTGCACATCTGACTGCTTGCCTTTATTTCCTATAATATATAAACTTATTGTACGTTATACTTTTATAATTTCTATTACTGATTATTAAAACTAATTTTCAGCATAGGAGGCAGTCATGTTATAGGCTCAGTTTTGGTATAAATATGCATTCAGTGAAGATGACAGTCATATAAATATCTAACTACACAACACCTCAACATTTTTGGTGTCTGTTAAGCTGTTTATATCAAAATGAAAATAGGCAATTCCTTATATCATGTTTTCATTTCATTGTTATGATAGTGAATCAACGTAGTCATAGTGATGCGAACGTTTTTAAAGTAGCCCACACTGTTCTCTTTAAAGATTTACCAGACGTGTCCTCAGGAGTTTGTTTTTCTTATAAAACTTCTGAAGTCTGAACTTACAAGAAAAGAATGCAAGACTGCAAATTATGCACTTAATATTGAGGAAAAGGTCCCAATCAGAAAGGTGAATGTCTGCAGCCCTGTCTCCTTTACTAGATGTCTCTGTATTATGAGTGACGAAAATAGTGCTGACTATACTGTGAAAACTGGGTTCTTTGATAAACAACTGTTTTATTATATACAGGAAATCACTGACCCCATACTTTTCATTGATATTATATTATATTATATTATATTATAAGTTTTTATCAAATAAAATGTAAAAAGAAATCTAATAAAAGAAAAAAGTCTAAAATGAAAATGAAAAAGAAAATAAATCACTGGGTGCTTTTAAAAACTACACACTCTACCTAGACTTACAAAAGTTTCCAGTCTCTGTCTCCTTGCAACCTTGGATAAAAACATTTAATAGGCTGAATAATAGAGGAGCTCAATTAAGTGTCTCTCAAGGGAGAAGGACAGAGAATCAGACGAAGAGCAAGTCACAGCTCAATCAAGAATGAACAGGGGCTAAAAACAATAAAAATAATAAAGTCAGTTAAATATGTCCTGTACCGGCTACTCCATTGCCGACACTGTTGTCATCCGCCTGCAGGATTTCCTGGTGTTTGTATGTGCCGTTCATAATGCGAGTTGAGCTTTCTGTCACACCATTGCTGTAATGTTCTGCCTCAATCTCCATCTCACTATCACTGTCAATGCACAAAACAAACACAAGTCAAGACAAGATTCCGAATTTATATTTTGGCATCCAAATCCATATTCAGTTTTTCTGTCTCAAAGTCAAAACCACAACCACCAACACAAATCAGTAGAAGCACAGATCTAGTCTCCTGGTTGCTGGGGGCCATTATATAACATGTGCCTAAAGGTAAGGCAAAAGTGCCAAACTCAAATGAAGTTGGGGGATGGGTCTGTGAAAATATTGGAATTTGTTTAGTTAATTCTTAATGACATTAACCATTTTTTTGGTTTATTCCTGGCCTCTTCCACCTTGCGGTGTAGAGGCTGATCAAAGTTTTCGCCACCTTTTCCTGTCTGTGGCCACTGTTCTGGCGCAGTTTGGGTCTACTTCTCTTTTTTGGAATGCTGGGGTAAGCGAGTCCATCCAATTCATTCAAGGCCTACCTCTTGGACGATTTCCTTGGGTTCTTGCCTCTAGCGTCTGCTTTGGAACCCTGTGGTTTTCATCCTGACAACATGACCAAACCACCTCATCTTATGCCTGTCAATTATTTCAATCAGTGCTTCGACTTGTAGGTTTGTCCTAATGGTCTGGTTCCTTACCTGGTCTCTACGAGTTTTGGCAGAGACTTGTCTAAGGTACCGCATCTTCATCGCCTGCAATCTGTTGTTCCTGCAGCTAGTAAGTGGCCAAGACTCACACCCGTAGGAAAGAGTAGGCACATAGGTGGAGTTATAAACAGCTAGCTTTGTTCTGGTGGAGATTTCTCATTCCCAGAAAGGCTCTGTTTAAAGCGTGATATAGTCTGCCAGATGCGGCAACCCTCACTTTGAGATCCTTATGAAGTCTCTCATTCTCACTTAACACTGTTTCAATGTATCTGAATTCTTCTAGGGCTGTGCAATTAATCCAAATTCAGTTTTGATTTTGGCATCTAACAATTAAGAAAAAACATTCATTCATAAAGAGTTTGTGTTGTTGTGGGTGTGCGCTCAGAGACGAGCAAAGCACACACATCTAACGTCATCTTAATGTGAGTGCTTTAATGGTCAAATACATGCAAATTTGTGTCAAAACGTGGTGTGACTACTCATATTAACCCTCATTTATGTAATAAACAAACAAGTTGAGAAATAAGACATGTGAAAGTAAAACAGTAGATCAGTAGAGCGTAGTCCTCTTAAAGTGACAGCACGCAATATTCCTGCTGCTGACTGTTTTTATCATTAATCAAACAACAAAATAACAAACTCACTCACTGCTCATGACTGAAGGACTTATGTAGCTTTAATTAAAGTTTTTTCTTACAGTAAAGAACGATGCATAAAGAACAGCTTGTTTCATTTTTTTTTCTATTGTACTTATTTCCCTTACTTACGTCAGAATTATAAGCGGCCCTTTACATTTTCCCCTAATTTCTGTCTAACAGAAAGAAGATTATTTTCAACACATTTCTAAACATAATAGTTTTAATAACTCATTTCTAATAACTGATTTCTTTTATCTTTGCTATGATGACAGTAAATAATATTTTACTACATATTTTTCAAGATACAAGCATTGAACTTAAAATGCATCTCAAAGGCCTAACTAGGTTAATTAAGCAAGTCATTGTATAACAGTAGTTTCTTCTGCAGATAATCAAAAAATGCTTAAGGGGGTTAATAATATTGATCTTAAAATACTTTAACAAATAGTTATCCCTGCTTTTCTTCTAGCCAAAATAAAACAATTAAGACTTTCTCCAGAAGAAAAAATATAATAGGAAATACTGCGAAAACCTTCCTCTGTTAAACATCATTTGGGAAATATGTATTTATTTTAAAAAAATTCACAGGAGGGGAAATAATTTTGACTTCAACTGTATATCGTTTTGAATAATTGGGATTACAATTACGACCAAAATAATTGTGATTATGATTTTTCCCATAATCAAGCATTATTAAAGCAGACATTATGTTGTATACTTGTAGCTCCTCAAAATTTTCCATCCTAGAATTCCATCGTAAATTGTATTTAACTTTCTAACCAATGTTTTTTAATTATTATTTTATATCAGTTTGTATAACCCCCTGGGGTGAATTAGTTTTTATAGAAAATCATTATTCTTTTAGGACTTGCTCAAGAATGTGCAAATCCCGGACGAGCCCCCACATTTTTGTTAAGGCCCAGTCTAGTGGCAACATGGAGAAAAATAAACTATGAAAATCACATTAGAAAAATGCATAGTGTTCTTTTCTTTACTGTCAATGACAAACACAACGAAAAATAAAAACATCCACACACAGACCTAGTCTCCTGGTTGCTGGTGGCACTGTGAGGCTGGGACTTGGTTGAGTCGGTGGAGTTGGACTCCGAGTAGTTGACGGAGGAGGGAGAGGAGGATGGAGAGGAGGATGCAGAGCTTATGCCTGTGTATTTGTTGTGGCTCTTATTTTTGTTTGGAGGAGTGACCCCGTTACTGCATGTGGGACTGTCTGCGCCTGAGTCACGAGAAGAGATACACACATTGGAAAGTATCATAAGGAAAAGTGTGAATGAAAGTACATTCATTTTAATCAATATAAATCACCCAAAGTGCAGCACAGGTGGAACAAACGACAGGATGAATTATCTGTTTTGCATCTTTTATAAATGTTACTCATGATCAGATCCACACAGAATCTACACCCACAGAATTATGAATCATCTATGAAACATCTGTTCTTTACTATGTTCTACACAAATATCTAGGATCTTTTGAGTAACGCTTTTAGCTGTTGATTTAAAAGGTTAGCAAGTTAAAAAGTGTGAATCTCATGAAGACATTATTGAAGCGTGATAGAAGGAAATTCGAAAACTGTTTGTGGAAATAGAATGAAATTAATGAGCCTAAGAAGCCTATTTTTAGGAACAATACAAGTATTTGCATTTTTACTATATTGTCTAATAAATGTAATGCATCTCATTCACGTTATTTAATGGGATAAAGTATTAATAAATAATTATTAAATTATATATGCAATTATGTACGGTATTTCTTGAACTGATATCAAACTTAATAAAACGTCTAAAGTTTATAAGGTATGTAAGGTTTAATATAATATTTTAATAATAATAATGACTAAAACTGATTTATCATTAATTGTTTGTAATTGCATACAATTCATTTTAAATTTGCTATATTTGTTATATATATATATATATATTTATCTATAAATCTATTTGTTATTCGGTAATGATAAGGGCAATTTGTTTTGGCCCTCTAAATACTGCAACCAAGACTTCAAAAATAAAATTAGTTCAGTCGAAAAACGGCCGCTATAGTTATGAAGTGGTGTGCGTCTGTTCAATACAGCACAAGCTGCAGTTAAAGGCTGCGCAGAGAGTGAGTCACTGGACATGTTTGGATATGCTTGCAGAAAATGCTGTATGATACCATTAATAGGGATGCAATGATTAGCAGATTTCACTATTAACCATCCTTTTGTTCATTAATGGTTTGCCAATACGCACACACATTAGATTAACTATAGCAGCAAGCCATTGACATAGGGCCTATTGCGTCTTTTCCGCACACAAGTACATTATTTCCAATGGAGACATGCACATATTGGGAGTAGTGCGCACATGGCTCGCAAGCGGACCAACGCACTCGCGCCCTGCAGGTGAGAAATTATCACAGTAGAAATTATCTCATGCTTGAGAGAGTTGAGCGTGGCTTTTTGAGCAATGTAAACAAAAGATATGCTAGACGAATTATTACAAATTAATAAAATGATAATGTATGTATAAACGCAGAAAATAACAACAGTTCATTTAAATTCTTAGCTAATATATAGCTTAAATTAACATTAGACAAATACGACAAATTAGACAAATTTTTTTATTTATTCTTATTTTTATTTATTTATTCATTGTTCTATCATTTATTTTCATTGTAAAATTATCACTCATGTATAAATCAAAAACTTTTTCATTTACTTTAAGTCCAAAGAGAGAATTGGACTATTGTTTATTTTGTATTAATATTGTTTGTTTTTTGTTAATATTTTGTGCTGTACTTGGTTACTGAGCAGCAATATACTCTCCGGCCGGCTTTTCATGAACTGGCCCCCATGACAAACTGATTGAATAGCCCTGTCTTAGACTATCTTACATCACAAAACAGTTTAACATAGGACTGCTGTTTAGAGGTATTCATGCTGATTATCTGTCATGTTTAAGGGCTCAAAATAGCCCAATACCGTACAACGTACACACCTACTTTGAAGTAAAACTGAAAGATTGTTATTGTGTCTGCATTACCTGTGCTGTGCAAATGAGGATTGGTGGCTCCGTGTCGGGGGCTCATGTTTGGGGAGCCGGGATAGCTGTCCTGTGATTTAGGAGAGCGGACACTAAAGCAGCGTACCTCACTATCTGTACCATTCACCATCTCCACAAACTGCCGACACCTGAAGGTGAAGAGCAACAGAAATCACTGTTACAAGATCTGGCAAGCGCACACACTTCAGACCACCCTATCAATTCAAATGCCTGTCAACCAGGTTTCTGTTCTCCATTATGTCTACTGACTGACAGTGTCAGCTCAGCAATCCATTAAACTCCCTTCTTGTCATTCAACTGTTATCCATCACAGAGAGAGAAAGGAGTGAGCTCTGACTGCTTCCTTCCCACAATTCCAAGTGAGCCTGACCTCTTATGGCATCCAATAGTGCAGTTAAATAATAAATGTACAAGCACCTCCATGTAAAGTGCACATTTATAGTTTGTTAGCTATTTTTTTTAATCAGCATGTATGTTGGTATGTATGGAAGTCCATTCCTGCCACTGAATAAAAAAAGAAGCTTATTGTGACTTAAAGGTGCTGCATGTAAATTTTTTACTCTTCTAAAGCATACAAATAGCAGAATATGTTTGTGGATATTTAAAAAAACATTCTAAGTGAAAATTCTTGTTTATCTGAAAAACAATGCTGAAGTCAGACATTCTGCTTTGAAAATGTGAGTTACGCCTGTCCTTGTTTTGGTTCTTTAAAACCCACCCAATGCCACTTTAGCCTATTCTATTTCAGCACACCAGGCTCTCAAAGCACGCGCCCGTGACCAAAATGTGACCTCTGGTAGACAGTAGCAGACTCCGAAATGAGATGCAGATTTAGAGCTTCACATGAGGTGGTAATTAATTAGCAAACAATATAAGTATTAAAAACTTAAACATTAGGTGAGCAGGTTACATTGTAACCCCATGTCCCAACAAGACGAGTGACAAGATTTGCAGTGATTTGCAATTTGGCTGTCTGCACCAGACGAAACAAATCCAGCCATTCAGAAGCACAGAATAGGGCACTTACTGCACTCCAACAAAATGATTTACAATCTAATTACTACATATTAAACCTCTTTAACATTATTAGAAGTTATATACAGCATGTGCTGTATGATTGATATTTGTTAACTTGGCTTGAACTAAGTCATTGCTCTAAAGTTTAATTTCAAACGGTTTATTTTATTTTCAAGACCTGAGGTAAACTCTCTGCTGCTGCTTTCAGTAATATGGCAATAAGTGTCATGTAAAATGACATTCAAACTCACATTTTTAGCATTTAACACTGAATAAAGCACATGAGGTGTACCTGAGGTGAACATTGTCATTTATCCTGTCGTTCACCTGTAAGAAACAAAGGCTGTTTCTAATATATAAGTTTCAGGTGTTGGTTAGGACAAAAACTCCTTTTAGTATATATTGTTTAGTAAAATATTCCTTCTATCGCGTGTTGTTGCATGTAGTTAAGAAAAAAAAGAGGTTAAAATCAGCTATAAATCAGCCATTAAGCTAGATATTCAGTTACACTCACATCAATTTGGCAACCTGGGCTTGTGTCAGAGGTGGAGCAAAGTGAAAATTAGTTTTGATCCAGGAGTGCAATACCTAGTACAAGCACTGAGTGTCAAACTTACATACTGCACCTTTAAGTGATAATTCTGAGTTATAAAGTCACAATTCTGAGATTAAAAGAACTCTGACTTTGTTTAGCAATTCTGAGTTATAAAGTCGCAATTTTGTGATATAAAGTCAGAATTGCGAGTTATAATATATATTGTGAGTTTCCTGTTATGGCGACTGACCAATTGACTCAGAATTCACACTTTTTAAAGAGAATTTTGCTGAATTTTTACTTAAAATGTCAAAATAACTTTTTCTTTTAATAAGTGGCAGGTTAAGGCATTCATATGTATGAGCACATTTACATGCTCTCCAATACTCTGACAACTCACAAAAATCAGCTTATTGAAAAAAAAACACTGTCCCAGTTTACATGCCAACCAAAAAAAGAATCTTTGAAAGAGCTTATTAATAGTTTTGTTTCCCTGTGGTGATATCAAAATGTAATCATTTGCATATCTGGCTCTAAATATTTAAATAATTTTTCCCTCCTCACTATACATTCAAACTCAAGTGTTAACTTTTATGAACGTCTTTCCTCTGTTGAACACAAAACAAGATATTCTGAAGAATGCTGGTAGAAGAATGTTATTGTATAAGCTGATTGTCATGAAGAAGATGAGTATTGGAACAATGTAAAACTTTCAGCTCATATTTCCTGTTATCAGCATATTTTTATACTGCATGTTATTCAGCCGTTTGACTGAACCAGTTCTAATCAGACTGCACTGAAAATGCAGATTTATAAAGAGACTGCATCTAGACATCAAAAGAGTTTGTGTTATATTTTCTTAATATTTTGTTGGTTTTTAAACCCTCAGATTACAGATTTACAGATCAAAGTATACAAAGTAAACATAAATGGAAAGATTTTTTATTCAGATTTCAGATTATGTATAAATCTCAATTAAAAAAATATGACACTTATTTTGTAGTCATATTTTTAAATGTAGTTCAACTGAATATTTGTTAATTTTTTTTTTACAGATGTACAGTATACTGTATAGTTATAAACTGCAATTCTTCTAAAGCACATGTTCCTGGAGGGCCGCAGCTCTGCAAAGTTTAATTCAAACCCTAATTAAACAGACCTGATGGAACTAATTGAGTGCTTTAGGCTAGTTTGATACCCACACATAGCTGTGTTGAAGCAGGGCTGGAACTAAACTCTGCAGGGTTGCGGCCCTCCAGGAATTGAGTTATACACCCCTGCTTTAAAGTCTTTCCAAGCTAATATAAAATTATTTTTTTCTGTTATTTGTAGTAATACATTTATTTTTTTTATCACATTGAACCATTCTTCAAATGTCTCAAAAAATTAAACAAACAAAAAAAATCTAAAAAATATATATAAATATTATATTCCTTCATTTCTTTTAGCAAATCTTTGCTTGGTTTGTGTCAAGTCACTGGGTATCAGATATGATGTGGGACTACTGTGCAGCGTATCCTGTGAAACAATTATGTTAAAGCACTTAAATCAGCCGTTAGTACACTTTCCTTTTAGATATCACACATGTGCACTTTAACAAGCAGACCAAACACAGGTCTTTATATTTAGATGGAATTGTGGTATATAAGCAAAAATTTAGCAGTTTGGCCAGATGAGAAATGGTTGTGTTCAACTGAGCTTGTTTTCTCTCAAGTTTTTTTTCCTTTACTTTGGAAAATTGGTAAAGTTTGTTCCTTGCCACTGTCACCACTGGCTTGTTTGATTTGGGACTTGTAGAGCTGCGCATCGATGGATTTGCTCTCCAGTGTTTGGACTTCCAGCAGTGAAATTAAACCACACTGAACTGAACTTAACTGAACATCAACTCTGAAAACTGGACTCAAAACTGTTTCAATTTACTAGAACTTCTATGTTAAGCTTCTATGTATATTGTAAGAGCACTATAGAAATAAACATGAATTGAATTGGTTTATAGAAAATTGGTTCAAACACACGCGGTTTATATTCGGGAATTAGAAAACTGGTTTCACTGTCAGTTTAATAATCATAATGTAAACCCACTCTCTTTAACGGTCTGATCAAGGATCTACATTTCATTGCAAATTCCAAACCCAGATGATGATTATAACCAATACATATTTAAGCATTCAAATACTTATTATGTACTTGTATCTGTTACAAATTACTCAATACAAGCAATAATTCATATTGCTTGTTTAATAACAATTATTCTGAGCATTTCAGAGTCAGTAAGATTTTTAAAATCCTTTAAAATATGCTCACCAACAAAGCATTTATTTGATCCTGATTCCAAAATAAAGCTGAATTAATACTGCAAAATATACTTAAATTTAGAATGGATGTAATTAATGTAGGAAAATTTAATGTAATTTATTCCTATGATAATTTATTCCTCTGACATGTATAATATTGCTATTCCTATGCAAAGTTGAATTATCTTGAATTATCATTAGGTATTACTCTTCATTATCTCACAATCCAGCTGCTTATGATTTTTTTTTTTTTTTTGAGTATTGCGTGTACTCAGGAACAAATTATTTATAATGAAATGTATTTTTATTGTAACATTATAAATGTCTTTACAGTGACTGTAATGCTCTAGCTCACACATGTGGCGGCTGAATGCAAAACCAACCACTTTTTTTGTCCACTTACTCTCAATAACTTGAAAATCCAAGTAGATGTCCATTTCTATTTCTTCAATGTCATCCATTACTTGCACAACCACTGATTTTGTAGGTGGGGTTTCTTACAGCATGCCATTTAAGGTATATTGTTCTTCTTAAGACCTCTTATGAATATACATTTTCAGAAGTGTGGAAGACAGTGGGAAAAAAAACATATTACTCGCACGACTAAAAAACCAACAAAAGCTCAGCTCATTTTCAACCTTATGCAACAGCATGACTAATCACATCAGAAGCCGCTCAAACTAAAGCAACCATGACCCTATTTTATTTTATTTATTTATTTATTTATTTTATTTTACGTTTTTGCTGTGAGGACGCACAAGAATAAGTGCCTATTTCCTCAGAATGACCACATTTTAGAATCCTTCATTCTGAGGAATTGGCAATCTCATGTATTGTGGTCCAAGCCCAGAAAGCATTGTTCATACAGGGTTAATGCACACTTTTACTACTAAAATTATAGGACTTTTTCATGACTTTTCCCAATTTTTCAGGTAAATATTCATTGTGGTATTTATTCTTGGTAATTTAAAAAAAAACCTTCACATTAATTACATCATGTCAAAAATATGTGACATTCTATGTCTATATAACTTTTATATCTGTAAAATAATTTTTAGACAGTATCTTGCTGTATGTAAATTTTGGCTTGTGTTTTTACAAGACTTTTAAGAACAGCAAAATCGCCCTCAGCACCCCCAGTATCTTACCTTTGTAGTTGGAGATTGTTTCTGGACATGACACTCAAAATGTGTCTTAAACTACGATGAAAGAGAGGCGAAGCTGAAACTGGGAAATGATTTTTAACCCACACAGAGAATGACTGTGTCCGAAATTACATACTTCCATACTATATAGTATATTAAAAACAGTAAGTGAGCCAAGTAGTATGTCTGAATTCATAAGGTGCTTCCCAATTCGCATACTTATGCACTATTCTACGCCATTTTGTGGTATAAATAATGTAAGTAGTGCATTTACACTGAAAACTCTAAGAATAATAAGTGCACTTTAAATACCCGGATGCTGCACTTATTCAACTGTTAAAAAATGTAAGTGTGAAATGTTGGACACTTCAAGCACTCAATGGCCGCTGCTTAGCTCAGGCACCGATGTTGGATAACTTTATTTATTTTGGATTGTCAAAGCAAAATTCTCCAACGAGAGTGATTATACTGCCTCCCGATGGTGAACGCGGTTATACTCATGGCAGGTAATATATGGTAGTTTGGTTATTTATTTCACTAATTTGGCAACCGTCAAAAAGGTTTGAGTTCCCGCTTAGTAAAAAATCATTAGTGTTCTATTTGGGATGACACTAAAAACATATGAGTGTGTACGTGCATAGTGTGCAATTGGAACGCAGCTATAAGATTTGAAAAAGAGTATGCGAGAAGTACCCGGATGGCCAACTACCTCCAGCAAGATTCTGAAAAGCGGACACGATGAACGCTACGCTATACCATGATGTACCATAAGAGAATTCATGAATAAGAGGGAAGCAACGCAACTGACGTGAGTAGGTCACGTGATGATGACAAAATGGCGGATGCAGTACATCAGAGTTAAATTCATGCTACTCACATTCATACTGTATAGAATGTACTTTTCCAAATGTCAAGTAGTACATTAAATTCAAATGCAGTATTGAGTATTAGGCGATTTTGGACGCAGCTAAAGTCACGTGAAGGGACGGACAGCGGAATTGCATTTAAAAGTTATGCAATATTATCATCTCAATTATATTATACAAGTAATATATATATATACATTTATGTATGTATGTATGTATATATATATATTAGGGCTGTAACAATACACCAAACCCACGATTCGGTTCGTATCACGATTTTTGACCCACGATTCGGTTCGTATCACGATTTTTTTTTCGTGTGGGGTGGGGAAAAAAAGATTTTTAAAACTATTTTTTATTAAATAACATTTGCAAAAATCTTTATAAACTAAACATCAAAGAACAATATTAACTATGCAAATTATTAACAATATAAATAGCCATATATAAAATAAATAAATAGTCAAAGCTATATCACTTTTGTTTTCTTTGTAACAAAATACTGTTGAAAAACCAAACAGAACAGAACTCCACTGTGTAGATGGTTCAAGCATGTTGAAAATTCTTTTTCAATCAAGTTCTCTTACATAGAAAAAGTAAATTAAATGGCTACTAGGGATGCTCATTTCGGTTAATTTTGCTAACCGACAACCGCCGCTCATTAATCGGTTAGTAACGGTTAACTGGTCAGATTACTATTAATTTTATATTAAACAAATTGATGTGTCTATTTTGTGTCTGACACATTAAATTTTGCATTTTAAAATAGGCTACTGATTTATTTTTAAATGCTAGCATATTAATAACAGAGTAGAACAACAGAGCATCTTCACGCACCTGCAGTGTTTAGCACAGAAGAGCAGAATAAACTAAATAAAATTAATAAAATAAATAGGACTGCCCTAAATTATTTTCATTTAAATAATTAATTTATATTACAAAACGAAAATACTGACTGATTCTTTTTAACAACCGGCATAGGCTGTTTTTTTCTAATCATGTTTTTTCTTCCATCAAATAAAATAGCAGACTTCCTCAAATCGCTCGCTCTACGGAAAATATGCATTTATTTAATGCCCCGCTGTTATTATTATTATAACAAAACCTTTTACATTTTTAATAGAAATCATTATTTTAAAGAATATGTCCTTATATAGCCTATGGTTTTCTCTCTCTCCCTCGCGGTTCAAGTGCGCGCGCTGCGTGATGAAAAGACAACAACAACAACGCGCGCATATGTAGACTTTTTGTAAACAGTTTTGTTGTTTAAATATGCTATTGCATTAATGTGCATACATGCTTTATAAGCCGAAAACAAGGCGCATCTCACTGCCTTTATGTTGACAAGGAAAAAAGAAGAGAAGAAGCGCGGTCCTCTTATGAAACGACTGAATCAGCTGGGTATCGATTGTGCATAAGTGTTGCTGTCTGTGTTGTTACAATTGTAATATTTAATACTATCGTGATATTCAGGATTTGTACATTCATACAGCTCTGGAAAACTTAAAACAGCGATAGACCTTCAGAGCGGCATTAATGCGTCCTGAAGTAAAGCGATATAAACTCCAGCAAGATAGAGTGATTATATACAGAGCCATATACCTTTATCTCTAAATAAAGTATAGCTATAGAAACTGTGTTCATCTTAACTGAAAGCGTCGTCCTGATTCCTGGCCTCATGCATCGCGTACCTGTCAGTCAGTACGTAACGTTAACTCCCAAAGGGTTAAACAGAAAGCGCACAGCATGGTTACAGAAAAGTTTCCTCTGCAGAGGAGTCGGGGCATCTGGTGAACGCCCATCCCTCTCTGCGCAGCCACATTAACAACAATGCTTTGACAGCACTGGCAATGTTTCTGCTGTTGTCTGTTGTCAAGCGGGGTTACGTTGGTTTTGTTTTTGATATTCCTGACACATTCAGACGGTCCCTAACTAAGAGCTCCGTGCGAGCTCTCCCAGCTAAACGCTTATTGCGAGGGCTTAAACGGAGCAGTGCTCGTAATGTTGAGCGGAAAAAAAGTGTTTCCTGCACGGTCTTCTTCAACTAGCTCAACTTTTGCAGGTACGCGTGACGTTATTGGAAAGGTAGTCACGGGGTGTGTCGCGATTCTCCCTTATCACACCGCGACAAAGGATCGTAGATCTGAGTGTCGCGATTTCGATTTTATATCGTGTATCGTTACAGCCCTAATATATATATATTTGTTAAACAAATTTCCATCACTTTTAGTTTATCCAAAAAAAACAAAAAGTGTTTGTCCTTGTCAAAATTCCAGGACTGCATGAACCATATTTGAACCCTTCTAGTGCAGTGGTTCCCAAAGTGAGAGTTGCTTGCCGATTTCCAATAATCTAATTCCTTTTATTAAATTATTAGAATGACCTTATTTTATCTATAATATACTGATGAACAAAATAATAGTTAATAGTAACACTGTTAACATGTTAATAATAAACATAAAAAAACAACAAGCAAATAAAAAGTCATCAGACTTATATGTATTTTTTGCAACCCATGGGGGGTTGGGGGTTACATTATATTAAAGACACAGCAATAGTGTCAGATGCAGCACACTGATTTTAAGGAATCAGGTTAAACTTTCTGGCATCAGGTTAAACCTTTACAGCACTTACATACATTAAAACTAAATACAGGCCACAACTGAACATGGAGGATGGTCTTTGAGTGGCGTTGTCCAATACTAAATGATGAATAGACTTGGGCCTTTTGGTATATGTGCACCATTGTGTGCAAGGTTTATATATTTATAAACACCTCAGATTATATTACGAGTCACTGGCATTGTTATTTTGGGGGTCACAGGCTGAAAAGTTTGGGAACCCCTGCTCTGCTGAGTCCAATAGGAACTAATTGTTGACCTTAAGCAATCCTCTTAATCCATTCCACACAAAGCAGCACACACTACCAGACATACTCACTTCAACATGAAGAGTAAATTGGGGTTGTGTTCTAGGAGTCCCGGGTATAACTGCTGTGTTGCGTCAATGGCTTCTCCAACACGGCCTGCCAACACCAGCTTCTGTATTCCTGCAAGCGCAAAGAAGTGTGTTTTGCTTCTGGTTTGTTAAAACGATCACATCATGCATTTTTTATCACTCAAATGCTCTCCCAGCGGTCTACTTACAATGTTAGTAAAGTGTTTGGAGCATTCATAATTTAGTTTTATTACCATTTTCCTTTTTTTCCAGCCCCCTTTAAACAGGTGTTTTATTACTGATGTGCCTTTAAGACTTGAACGTCAATGCTCCATTTATCTATAATAGCCTCTTTGTAAAGCCTGAATCACATTCTGAGAGGTTCACCAATAATGTACAATGAAATATGTGTCTCAAGTGTCCCTTTTTTGGGTATAGTACTATTTGTATTATGTAATTTAAACTGTTCAAAGAACTTTTTAAAGTTTCAAAGATATTATCTTTTTTTTAAAAAAAAGAACAGATTCTGAACTGCCATCAGTAATTCCAGGCCTAATTCATGTCAAATCTACACAGGTTTGTAATGAATTAGGGCTGCAGGATATTAGAAAAAAACTGACATTGCAATGTTTTCATTTAGTGCGACAGACTTATATTGCAAGATAAATGCAATTTCACCAGACGACTTAAACAGCTTGTAAAGAACTTTAGATCGATTTCAATATGTAAAATATAATTAAATATGATAAAAATTAAAATCTAATAAAAAAAACGACAAGCAAAGTTAAATTCAACAGATACAAATAAACAAAGATTCAAGATTTTCTGGGGAGTCAAACAGTATTTACCAACAAAAAATAAACAACCACCACATAATAATAATAGTAATAATGTCTGGTCAACTATAATCCCAACTACATTGCAGATCCCTGCGATGTGACTACTGCGGACTCGCACGTTGCATTATAGATGATGAAACGATGTATAATGCAGCCCACACCATAATACATTTTTTTTTTATTGGTTGCATTCAAACTAAGTAGTAGCAACTAAGGCCCGGAAGTGGTTTTTGGTTAATGTTTTAATGATAAACCAATATTAACTGTAAAAACCGACCAACATCATTTACTCTATGAAAAAAAAAAGTTTGTTTAAACTGCTTATTTTAATTTAGCGGAAATAACACAATTATTGAGTTTTTTTTTAGCAGCTTAATTGTTTTATGTTCAGTTGTTTTATGTTTTGAACTCTAGGATCTTTCAGTAGAATATGCAGAGTGGTAGGTGCTTAACTCAAAAAACATCAACAGGGTTTGGAGAACTGTATACACTATCTTGTTCAGATATTTAATATCAACTATTAAAATGGTCATAAACTGCTTTTTTATTACATTGTGCTAAACTTTAATGTCCACTTATAACGCTATTAAGATTTATGCATCAAAAATATACCATTAAAAACGCGCCCACTGGTACTAAAAGTTAGTTTATTGAAGCATTTTCAATGCTTTGTTTTCACATAATGTTAAGGACAGTTGTGTTCCCACTGAAGTAAACTTTTAAAGCTGATTTTAGACTAACAAGGCTGAAATTAACAAGATACCTTTATAGAACAAATAAGCTCTTATTTGTCGAAAGATCAAAAGGGAATTTTGATTTCACAGTTTGTAAGCCTTTAAATCCAACAGTGCAGTAGAGGGTTCTGAAAGCTACATCATGTGTTTTGAACTCTTAAAAGAAATCCAGGGAGAATTTAATTTGATAATTTAACAACATCATTGTACTTCTATAGATTCTGCTTTTCTATCTGTGTAAATGTATACTTAATATTTGATGGCTTATACTGGGGTCAAAGACAAGGCGTCCTATTTTGGTGTCTACATCAAATTAAATTGACAAAAGTGAGTTTATAATCTTAGAAAGCAGATTAAATGCAATCAAAGTGTCTGCTTTAATGTTTTGAGTAACTTTTGTGAAAAATAAAATACCAAAATATAAAAAATTTATGTAAAATCCAAACTATATACTTACTCTAATCTGCACATATCAAAATATGAATAGGAATACATGATTATGCTAAATTTGATTATTTTTGAATTATTAAAATGTCATCCTGACAAATTGGTTAAAACCTACACCCAGCACAATAAGGCGCAGAAGTGTTTGTGTGCTATTTTCAGACCAGTACATCGGTAATATTTTAAGAAGTTTAAATAGCAAATCATTTGCACCACTTTGTTGACTTATGGGCGTGCTGGTCTAGAAAGGAGGCGTGTTAAGGCGCATTGCTGGCATGTTGCTATTTTGAAGAACTGAAATAGATTGCACCATTGATTAAACTAAAAGCTGGTCTAAAGTCCAGCGCAAAGTGTGTTAGTTATGCGTCTATGGATGTACAGCAATACACAAATATCTTTACATATGAAAAAAATTAAAGGATTAAAATGTTACAAAATTTTTTCTTTTTCTACATAAATATGAAAACCACTCCCTCCATGCCTTATCTCTGGGGAGGATTTTTCTGTTTATTCATGACAATTTGAATTTGTATAATGTCATTATTATTATTATTAGCAGTATCATTTATTATATGCATATTTATATTTTTTTGAACAAAAATAAGTTAGGATTTGTCCACCTGTTGGGTTTTGGAGACATCTGCATCAGCATATGGGGCATACGAATAGGATGTATGTTTGGATATAAACACTTCGCTATTGTTGTTCAAGAATTCCTTTGCTGGAAATTAGAACTGAATTTAGAAATAGTTTTGAAACAAATCTTTGCACTTAAACAAAATTAAATAAGTAGACTCATGTATGTCTTCAGTTGAGAATGTACAACAGTTTCCTTACTCCACAAAATTAAAGGAGTAAAGAGTAAAAGTAAAAAAAAATAAAGACACGCCCCTAATGCTTTTGTGCCATGTGCTTTAGACTTTGCCCCTAGATCATTAAAACAGAGACCCTAGAGTCCTGAAGACATTTTAATAACGTCAAAAATATTAATTATTAAAAATAATGAATTAGCATTTTGTGGTTGGACTGTGCTCCTTAAAAAGAGTCTTTCAATTGGTTATCAAATGATTCTTATTCTTAATAATACCCGAGAAGAATTTATTTTTATTAATCAACACTTGTTTTGCTGAACAACATGTTAGAGAAATTCTTCTGTTAATTATGAAATTAAAATGAAGGAATGTCATTGAGTTTTGCTCTAAAACAAATGATACATTTTATAGTATGGGTCAAAACAGAATAATGTTTTCTGTCTTTGAAATAAACAAAACCGCTTTCAACATGATTTATGAAACTGTGGCCAGTGCTAGAAAACCGGTTATAATTGAAACAATTCTAAAACACTACAGTGATCATAAAATATTCATTATTTTCATTACATCTTAAATTAAAGGCGCTTTGCGGTTTATTTTAAATGAGAAATGTATAAATTATTCATTCCCCATTTTCCTTAGCTCAATCAGCAAAATTGTAACTTATTCTTAAAAGTTATATTTTTCTACAAAAACCAGAAACCTCTGCTTAAGGTATTAGCATGCGAATACACAAATTCATATATTCAAATCACATATATTCAAATTTAAATTAGACTCAAAACTAAACTAGTTCATAAGCACTCACTCTGTCTGTTTTTTATTGAGGTTTGGTCCTCTTGGATCATGGTCTCTGTGGCTCTGGCAAACGCCATTGCTGTGGCACAATAGCCATGATGCACCAGGTAGCTGGACACCATACTGCAGATATAAACATAGAAACGTCAATATGCTGAATAGAATCATTATGCATCAAAGATTATCCACACAACAGGGTTCACCAGCAGCAGCAGAATAATTAGCATGCATTACAAAGCGCCAATGTTTCCCGTCATCAATATTTTGATCATTGGTTGACTGGCTGCTCACTTCTGCAGAACCGCCTGCCAGTCTCCCAGCCTTTCTCCAATGGGGAAGCGGGCGATCATGCTGTGGATCTTGGCCCTCCATTCGCTCATGTAGTCCTCAATGTCGAACACAAAAGGCTGCTGGCCAAAATTAGCATCTACGATCTCCCCTGGAGTCTGCAGGCCTACTGTGGGGTACAGGTTAGGCTGAAATAAGACACAGAAGAAGAGAAAGACAAAAAGAGAAAGCGCTTTAGAAGGTCTCCACGGGTATTTCTCAGTCACACCTTAAAGGGATACAACTCCTGGCAAAAGTATGGAATCACCACTCATGGAAGATGTTCATTCAAATGTTTCATTGTGTAGAAAAACAAAACTATTTTCATTCAGTGATCCAACCTTCTGGCTGTCTGAAACATTTCAAAGAAAAAAAGAACACTGTAGTCAGTTACAACTGTTTGTACAGATAAACGGAGGACAAAATAAAGAAACACACAAATTTGAGGAAAATGATATGGAATCACCAAATAAAAACACTACTGGTACTTTGTTGCACCACCTCTGGCTTTGAATTTGAACAGTTTGAAATATCTAAGACATGGATTAAAAGTATTTTTCATCAATCTGTCTCCAACTTTGTCTTATTGCAGTTGCCAGATGAGCTTTGCAGGTTGGAGCCTTGTCTCGGACTACGTTCTTTAATTTTCACCACAGATTTTCAATTGGATTGAGGTCTGGACTAGTTGCAGGCCATTCCATTGACGTTAAATGTCTTTTTGGTAGGAACGTTTTCACAGATTTTGCCCTATGGCACGATGAATTATCATCCTAAAAACTGTTATCGTCACCAAACATCCTTTCAATTGATGGATTAAGAAAAAATTGTCCAAAAACTCAATATAAACATGTGCATTTATAAAGGATGTAATGACTGTCAAATTTACTTTATTTACTCATCCTTAAGTGGCTCCAAAAAATTTATGAGTTTATTGAACACAAAAGAAGATATTTGAGAAAAGCTGAAAACAACGACTTCTATAGTAGGAAAACTAATTCTATAGAAGTCAATGGTTATAGGTTTCCAGCTTTCTTCAGACTATATTCTTTTGTGTTTAACAGAAGATAGAAACTCATAAATGTTTGAAACAACTAAAATGATGACAGAATTTTCATCTTTGAGTGGACTATATCTTTAACACTAGAAATGCCACAAGGTTAATTTACCCGTAACTGCTTTTCGAAAGTATTTAAGTTTATTAAAAAATATTAAAGTCTCCCAATCATTGAATTTGACTAAAATTGAGTTTGTTGTTAAAACGCATAGCATTTAAGATTTTATAATCAAAATATCCAGAAGGCGTGTTATATATTTTGCTGACTTGTGTACTCAGATTATCCCAAATATTCTGAAAAATGTTCAAATACAGAGAAATGAACCATTTTAACTAGAGATAACATTGTGTCGCCATGCTAATGATATTATCCACAATCAATTTCATGTTTTGATTTTTATAAGACATGGAAACACCAAAGATGTTTGGATAGGTTGTGTGTTTTATTAAAATGCACAAAGAAGCATCATAAAAGAACCATAAAATATGTTTAGTATGATAAAACAGCACTGCTTCTTCCACGTGATCACAACCCAAAAAACTTAAAGAAGTCGACTGTTGCATGATTAAAGCTCCAATTTTTCATGCCACATCACACGTCTCCAGTGGTGTAAAGTAAGAAACTACAAACACTCAAATTGAGTAGTTTTTCACAGGAATGGTAATTTACTAAGTAGTTTTTAAGAAAGTATACTTTTACTTTACATTGAGTACATTTTTAGTGTGGTATTGGTACTTTTACTCCACTATTTTCCTTCAACCTGCAGTCACTATTGTTTTTCTTGTCTCCGGGGATTGGCTAAAGTAGAATAATCAGCCCTGTGATTCATGTCCCATCAAACGCACATAGAAAGTAGGGCTGGGCGATATGGGCAAAAAAATCAAATCTCTGTATTTTTAAGAGGAATGACGTTATATGATAAAAATATGATAAAATTCAGAAAAAACACAGAATATATACCTGAATATATAAAACTGATTAATTTTATCTTTGCCATGATGACAGTAAATAATATTTGATTAGATATTTTTCTTAAAGTATTTGATTAGATATGTTTCTTAAAGTGACATTTAAAGGCTTAACTAGGTTAATTAGGTTAACTAGGCAGGTTTGGTTAATTGGGCAAGTTATTGTATAACAATGGTTTGTTCTGTAGACAATTGGAAAAAAAACTGCTTAAAGGGGCTAGTAATGGGCAAAAAAATCATATCCTGGTATTTTTAGGAGGAATGGTTACTTGAGACTTAAAGCCTTTAATAAAACTTTATTAAACATTTTTTGAGCAAAATATAATTCAAACACAGAGGTTTCCCTCCTAAACAGCTGACAAATAAACAGAAATCTTTGATGAATAAAATACAGTACAGTTTTTTTTTCCTGCTTAACACTTTACACAGCATTACTGTGCTGTTGTGCAAATAACAAAGTAAATAGAACCATAGAAAGCATGGAACACACTTAAATAGTAACACAACAAAAAGTATTTTAGGATAGAAAATAACCACATTAAATGTAAATATGAAACAAACAGTATTTCACGTCACAATTACAGTGTTGTTGTAAATAATCCTGTATAGCACAGTTGTGTGATTTATAAACAACAACTAAATCAGCTGTATGTTTTTTTAGTTACACATTTACATGTATGTATTGTGCACAATTATTAAACAGTGCACATATCCAAGATATCTAAAAACAAGTCTTTCACTCCATGTAAAAAATCCTACACTTTTTCATTTGTTTTGACTTAACTTGTTTTACTAAATATTAAATAAGGAGATGAAATTGAATAGACAATAGGTATGAGAAGTAACGAAATTGTTCCAGAGTGCTGTGATGAAATGCTGGTTAAGCATATAAATGCAAACAGTCATTATAACAGAGCAGAAGGCAGAGCTAAAAGTGTTATAATGTAAATGTAAAGAAGATTCCATTATGTAATAAATACTGAACTTATAATCAGTGAATATGTGGTGGTTTTTACTTTCGAAATGCAGTATAAATTCATCACATTTTGCCGTTTTTAATTCTTTTGAACACATTCTGGTGCTGCTTGTCAATTTGACAAGGCTTCTATGTTCGTTCTTGTTGTCAATTGCGGAAGAAATGATCAATAAAAGGATTCTGATAACCCGCTGTGACAGCTGCAGATGCTGTGTGACACCAGCACTGCATGTTCCTCAATGTCGTGCCAGTGACGGGTCATTCTTAAACGATTTGTTCATTTTGAACAAATCTTTTGTATGACTCATGTAGTGAATCGTTCACTTGTGCATGCGCACATTTGTGCAAGTGGAGCTCGCATGCTACCTTGGAACGGTCTGTTTCATGCAGAACGCGGATGTGTGGCCTCAAACCTCATCGGTATGAACGATATTGGATAATACTGAATCGCGTTGGGGAACCATATCGATATATCCCAAAACTCGATATACGGCCCAGCCCTTGAAAGTAAATTGCAAAACAATCGCAAGACATTAGCACTTCATAAATGTAACAAACCATTTGGAAGCATTAAAAGTGTGCAAGAAGATGTTTAAAATCTTTACACACAATGATCTAGAGATGTTATAGACTGCATGTCCCTGATGACAAGATGGATGTTTACTGTATGAGGACTGAAATCAACAAATGCCCTTAGACAATTACTAATGCACAACAGAATGTTAAGTTTACACACATCCACAAATTATATGCAACAACTTTTTGAGACTTTTTGTGAAAGGTCTACTTTTTTAGTCATACTTTGAGTAATATTTAAAACAGATACTTTTACTCTACTTGCACAACATTTTTGGCCAAGTAATGGTACTTTTACTTGAGTATGATTTTTTCAGTACTCCTTCCACCACTGCTCATCCAGCCTGATCTTATGAAAAAAACGCAAGTATTTTACGTTTTGCTAATTAGTGGCTAATTCATACGAATTCGTACGAGTTCAGTCGTACGAAATTGTACGATTTTAAAAAGGAGGCGTGGCACCTAACACCACCCCTAAACCCAACCGTCATTGAGGGAAGAGCAAATCATACTAAATTGTACGAATTAGATCACACGAATTAGCCACTAAATCAAAAAGTTACGAATTGTCGTGAGATTCTGTTGGCTTATCTCTGACAATAACTGCTTCAGCACTCTCATTTAACTTCAATAGCATTTAGCATTACTCGTCTTCATAATACCATGATAATAAGTTTTAAATATTTTAGCTCAATGAAGATTTCTGCAGGAGTCCCGTAGGATGTAGTGAAGACTACAACTCCCATGATTTCACACTCAGTCACAGCCTCATCAAACTACGCATTTGTTGTAAATGTGCATCCTCTAATGGGACAAATCACATATTGTGCCTTTAAAAAATCCTTCTATAAAACCAGGGGTATTTAATATGATGTATTGTTGACCTATTATGTTTGCACCACTTAAGTTTAAGAGTTCTATGCTAAGTCTTCTCCTACTAAAATAAAAGTAATCATTTTGCCACAATGGACAGAAGATCATTTATAGATGCTTAAAAAGGAATTAAATACACTACATCCCTTTAAACCCTGAGTGTTGTGTCCTGGATCAGCTCAGCATCATAGATAAAGACTATAAATAACAATTTCATGCCTCTAGACATTACATTGTGGATATAATACAGTAACATAATACCTTTAGTAGCCATTTTCGTTTTCGGTAAGAAAAAACTTCTTATATAGTGTTAAAAAGCGGCAAAATTGGTGATTTTCTATCTTCTGTTGAGAACAAGCAAAGATATTTATTAAATATTGACGACGGGTAGCCATTGATATCCATATAAGGAAAAGTAAATAATATGGTTACCAGATTCCAGCTTTCTTCAAAATGTCTTACTTTGTGGTGAACAGAAGAAAGAAACTTAAGCAGGTTTGTGAAAAAGTTAAAGATGTATAAATTAAGACAGATTTTCAAATGTGGACAAAGTATTCCTTTTAAGTGCAAGGCCTCAGCTAAATCTCTATGCATATCTCATGACTAGCACTCACCATGCTGTCAATCTACTGTTACAGGTATACATTTAGCAGAGGCAGAGTGACTTACAAATGAGGACTGCTGCATTACTAGCAATTTATGCTAGGGGGAAAGTAACAAGAGAAGTGCTGTGACACGAAGATTGGAAGTTGGGCAGAGAAATACAAGCTAGCACAGAGATATACAGTTGAGTTTAGAATTATTAGTCCCCCTGTTTATTTTTTCCCCCAATTTCTGTTTTATTTTTTCAACACATTTGACTGATTTCTTAACATAATAGTTTTATTAACTTGTTTCGAATAACTAATTTAATTTATCTTTGCCATAATGACAGTAAATAATATTTGACTAGATATTTTTCAAGATACTTCTTTACAGCTTAAAGTGACATTTAAATACTTAACTAGGTTTATTAGGCTAACTAGGCAAGATAGGGTAATTAGGTAAGTCAATGTATAACGATGGTACAGCTCAAACGGGCTAATAATTTTGACCTTAACAAGACTTAAATAAAAACTGCTATTATTTTAGCCGAAAAAAATAAAACAAATAAGACTTTCTTTTTCCAGAAGATAAAATGTTATCAAAAACACTGTGAAAAATTCCTTGCTCTGTTAAACATCATTTGGGAAATATTTAAAAAAGAAAAAAAAATTTAAACGGGGGCTAATAATTCTGACTTCAACTGTATTTGTGACAGAGGTCTTGGTATGGAAAATAAAAACACAAAGCAACATCCAAAAACATGCCATCTAAAATATATACATATGTTTTCAAAAATTGTGTATATTGTACTTACTGGCAGATCTGTAAAAGCCACACCTGAAAAAAAGCATAAAACAAAACAGAACTGTTCAGTATCGTAGCTTAATGGACTGCATTTTTTAAAAAACTATAATCTGAGCTACTGAAATAAATTTCTAATGATTTACGCATTCATAAGATGCCTAAATAATCTTGAATCAAGTATTAATACCTAAACTATGTCCGTTCTTGGTGTAAAAGCATGTGTTGTTGATGAGGTTGACGCAGCAGCCAATAACGTCGCCCGTAGTGAAGGTTGGGCCATATGGTTGGCCAGTCCCTGAGGAGCAAAAGGAGTGTCCGTCGTCACCATGGTAACCATAGGAGTGCTTGTCCCAACCTGAGAAGAGAGAAATGCCACAATTAAAACTGATTTAAAAAAACTATACTGATGTTTAGCTGAAACCCGCAGAATCCTAATTCACATATCTAAAGGCCTACTCACACTATGCTATCCGAACCGTGCCCAGGCCCATTTCCCGGATCGTTTAAGAAGTGTGAGTGCGCTGAATCGGGCTCAGGCACGGTTCACTTGGCCGGCCCTGGACCGGTTGGAAAAGGTGGGCCTGAGCGCGGTTCACTTGGGCTGTACGTTTGTAGTGTGAGTGTAAAGCCCGAAACTGAAAGCGAGACGTGACTTTAAGGGACTGTTTCATATGGATTTATTAATCATTCTTACTGTTCAATGAACGCAAACTGCCGTAGTTTATTAAAGACGCAAACTCCTCACTGCACCACAGCTGCGCGCCTTCAGCAGACCTCCTCATTCCTGCAGCACGAGGGCTTTATGATTGTTTATGAGCGCAAAAAGTGGCGGATCTATTCGGCGAAATATCTGACTGCGTGTTACCACATCCCTAAGGACTGTTTGGCGAAATATTTGACTGCATGTCGCTGCATATCAAACGACTAAAACGATATAACTAGAGAAATCTCCACTGTGCTGAGTGAGAGCGCTTCTCACTGAACAGCGCAGCATCGATGAGCATGCCCAGGCCCGATTTTGGTGTGAGTGTGGGCCGTCGGGGGAGACGGGAGGGGGGACAAGCGTGCTTTGGCCCGGTTCGAGGCAACTGTACATAGTGTGAATACGGCCTAAAAACCACTACAACAATGGTACATATTTAGATTTTTTAAAGAAACAGTGGGAAGATGACTTAGGAAATAGAGTTCCAGATGCAGTCTGGTAATCAACAACAAAGCAAATTCACTCAATGTTTATCTGCGTCAAATACAGCGTACTACAATTTAAGAAAATTCATAGGCTGCACTTTTTAAAAAGCAAATTGTCAAAAATATTCTTTCAGAAATTGTTCCAACATGTTCTAGGTGCATTTCTGTGTAGAGTTTGCATGTTTTCCACGCGGGTTTCCTCCAGGTGCTCTGGTTTCGCCCACAAGTCCAAAGACAATTAGTAAAGGTGAATTGGATAAGCCAAATTGTCCATAGTGTATGAGTGTGTATGGGTTTTCCAGTGATGGGTTGCGGCTGGAAGGGCATCCGGTGCGTAGAACATATGCGGGATAAGTTGGCGGTTCATTCCACTGTGGCACCCCGGATTAATAAAGAGACTAAGCCGAAAAAAAAATAAATGAATGAATGACTTGTCTACTACATCAATGTTATATATTTTGTTCATGCGTGTAGTTACATTGCCCCAAATGATACTGTTAAAATTCTGACAATGGCATCATATCTCATATGCTGTTTTTAATACCATAAACCCAACTTAACGCATCAGTTGCTGTGGGTTTCCTTTGCAGGAAAAAAATCATAATACTCAAAATATTTGTAATCAGAAATATATGGGTAATTCAAATAACAATTATCACAACCATTTAAAAGACAGAGAAAATGCTTATGTGTTATTATGTATTATTAGACCAAGTATGGCCAAACTTATTCAAATGAAGGGCCAAAATCCAAGCTTGATTGAGAACTGTGGGCCGAAAGTAAATATAGCAAACTGTAGGAAGTTGACATGGGTAGTTTCCTAATTTATTTCCTAATTTCTATAAATAAAAAGTCAAATTTAATTTAACAAAATTTACTACTGCATTTAATTATTTTTTAAAATGAATATTATTTTAATGAACTTACTTTACAACATTTAATTGAAATCTTAAATTTTAATTAGTTTTTTTTCTTGTTTTTGTAGTTCAATAATAAAACAAACAAAGCAAAGGTTGCATTAAAAGAGAAATCAGAATCTTTGTTAAAGGCATTCCCCAACCCTTTCCAATAATTTGGCCACTGGCAGGCCAAATCAAAGAATAAAAAAGGGCCAACTTTGGCCCGCGGGCCCTAGTTTGGGCATATCTGTATTAGACATTACACATGAGAGGTATTGCTGTTTTGTTGATTTATTAATAACAACACCTTGCTTTTACTTTCTACCTTCTGCCTACATCAGAGACATCTTTGTTATTGTTGTGAACAAGCGACCTCTAGCAGTGACTGTTATTGTGTTATTGACATCCTAAAAGGTGATGACAATGACAGTGTTTATTGCTTTTATTGGAAGCTGGATGCATGAAATCTGTCAATAATGGTGTTGCACTATTCTTCAGTGTTAGGAGGACACAGATTTCGCCTGCTAATAAGGAGTCTTGTTTTTGCCTCTGTCAGAGGATGAGTGGAAGCCAATCTTAAGCCTGCAGCGTTTGATATGCCATCTGGTGTACAGCATCATGAAATGCTGCTTCTTACATAAATTATGAGCAACATTGATATAATGCTGTAAAAGATATGGTGGACCTTCACTGGTTGAGCAGCAGATCAGTCTTGGTGCTTTTGGATTGTTTTTGGTCTACTTATATTGTCCACAAGTTGTCAACACCGAAATCGAGGAGATGAGACAACAACAAACTAGGCATGGGCCGGTACAAGATTCTGACGCAATGATAACAGTCACAGTTTCTTTTTAAATGTCTGGGTAAAAAACAAAAACTTTTTCCCCTTTGAACGCAATATAAATCATTTTGAGATATGAATATAATATTTTGGAACAGAAACATGTCAAGTTAAATAATTCAAATGAATCACTGCCTTCTGCCTTCTTCATTAGTTTCAAAAACACAGATTTCTTTACTATCTAAAATGGACTTTGGATACCTTTTTTGCTGGGGATATTGTTGTCCTAAAAAAAAAGAAACAAAAAATCTTACACATACCTTAGTAAAGGTATAGCAGAAAATATTGGAGGTTTTTACCTTGAAAACCGTTATCGTCCCATGCCTACAACAAACTACTGAAGCAAACAACACTCCAGACACACATGCTGATGATGACTGCATGTGAGAGGAAACCTCAAGAAGCTCCCAACTCGGAAGTTACTCAAGAGATTATTAATATGCAAGTCACAGGCAAAGTTTATTGGACAAAATGATCTCTAGTGAGATTACAACAATTATTATTTTCCTATACTTATTTTCTAAGTTTACCCCAGCTTATTATATTTCCTATGTGTGCAGGACTCTTATTTTGAAAAGAGGCATTAGATCTGGAATAAGTCAATGCAGCAGAATCTCATCTGCTTACAGCTTGTCAGAATGCAAAATTCAAGAAAACAGACTAAATGTTTATTAAACACCTCCTTGAAGATGCATAATGTCTGTTTAACTATTAAACTTTTGTCAGTTTAATGTATATATTGTGAAACTTTCCATATATATTTGTAATAAGCTAACAGACAAATGTACACAGTTTAACAGAGTGTTTAACAGAAGTTATGCATTGTATCAAATCACTTAACTCTTAGGGCCATTCACACAGCATTTGAACTTTCCCAACACGCTGCTTTTTCATTGTTTTTCAATTTAAAATTGTGCTAGACGGATGTGTTTGGTCGTTACACTTGTTGTTTTGAAGCGCTGCATTCTTTAGACACCGTGTCAAGTTAAAAGATTTTGGTCACACTTTACAATAAGGTAAGATTAACATTAAGTAATGTTAATTAATTCATTTACTAACATAAACAAACAATGAACAATACATTTATTGCTGTATTTGTTCATGTTAGTTAACGTTAATGAAAATTATGAAAATACAGTTGTTCATTGTTAGTTCAAGTTAACTCATGGTGCATTAACTAATGTTAACAAGCATGGACTTGTGTATGATTAATAAATGCTGTACATGTGTTGTTCATGATTAGTTGATGTTAGTAAATGCATTAACTAATGAACCTAATTGTAAAGTGTTACCAAGATCTTCAACTTTCACACACAGCACAGCTCATCACTGTCAGGTCGAACATTAGTGGACCAATTAGAAGAGCTTGGAGGTGGAGTAACAGTTGCAAGCTTCTGGTTATAGTACAAAGTTGGCATGACAACTGTTTTATTTACTGTTATATCATGGCAGATGAGGCGCTCTTTGTTGCTTTGTCCAGAATACCCTGAGCTATATGATGTATCTTCGTGTGCTTATCATAACATATTGTTTTCCTATTGTTTCTAATGGATCCTTCATTGTCGTTATTACATAAAGTTTATAATATCGCAACACGGGGACCTTGCGCTGCGTTTTTTTTTAAAACCTATTCCTGAGCACCACATCAAGTGTTTTTAGAAGCAAAGACACATTAAGTGTGAATGAGTCCTTACTGTGATTTTACTAGGGTGAAAGGACAGCAATAGACCCCATAAAACTCATGAAAACATGTTGACACAGATGTTGGTATTAATTTTGCCATTGTTTTCATACACGTTAAACCCACAGAACACAGACATTTCTTTTGGCTCTTTTGTCGAATTATAATTTAGCTTGTATTTCACCCTCAACACATAACTCAGGTCAAAAAAACTCACTCTTAACATTAAATCTTTTCATCTTTCATGAAAACATCTTTTCCACTTCAGTTTTTTTTTTTTACAACTGAAGTATGATTATTTTGCACATGTGTACTTTACAGTGAAACATGAGTCCATTTATCATAGAATCATGAGCTGTGGGAGCTAGAGCCTCTATGATCTCTGAGCTAGATCTCTGAGAGCATGAAAGAATAGCTCATTAATATTCACAACCCTTCCAAATAAGGTCAAAACAGAGCTTTCCATGTTAGGGGTATATCATAGGGTTCTAAATGGGCTTATGAAATCATTTCTAAAGATTTTTTTTGTACTTATAAAAGTCACATACCTTTTATGTAGACATCATAGAACAATTTGCACTTATAGACAACAAGGACATTGTCACTGAAATTTGGAGAGAAAAACCACTAGACATTTATGATACATGTATCGAATGCCTGTATTTGTGCAAAACTTTTGTATAATTTAAAATCTTATACACTCCACTGCATGAAGAAACAAAGTCTACATATGACATTGTGTCTCA